GCACCTACCACAGGGAGGAACGGATGTGTTTAGGCATCTGACCAATTACTAGATGGGGGAAGTTTAGGGAAAAGGACTTGATCTTATTCTTTGTATCTCCCAAGTCCAGTACAATACCTGATACACAGTAACTACAGAAGCCATTTTGCTCTCGGAGTGAGTGAGGATGCTAGGGCTCGAGGTGTTGTCCTAGAAAATTCTAGAATCCCCGGACTTCAATTTCCTCGTCAGAATGAAGAGTGAGCTTGTTTCTAATTGGAGCCTTCGGTTATCTTCCTCTAGGAAGTTACAGTGTAACATTTTACAGACTTTAGAAGGGTTCATAAGAGTGTGTGCATGAGCCCTTGGTACATGGTGACTACCCCGGAGCTGGATGAAGGGAGGAGAGGCCCTGAGTGGTGACTGTCGTGTTCAAGGAACACATTGTACTGAGATGGATGGACTCAGGACTCATTAGTGTAATCCACAAAGTCAAGACTCGAGACTCAAGTGACCCGTTTCCTGAGAAGAAAACAAGTTAATGTGACCGCCCGCCTTCTCAGTTGCCTCTCTGGGCTGATAGTGATTTTAAGTAACACGTTCAAGTGGCCCCTTTCTTCTTGCAAACATCACTTGGAGTCACTTGGTACGCATCCTCAGGAATGGTTGCCTGGAAACTGCTGGCCATATCTTCCTTGGGGCAGGGAGATGAAAGCAGATGTGGGCAGGATGCTATCATGAGAGATGCACAGCAGCAGGGCTGTGCAAACAGTATCTTTAAAGTGGGAGATATGAGGGCTGGGGAGATGGCTCAGTCAGTAGGAGGCTTGCTGTACCAGCGTGAGGACTTGAGTTTGATTCCCCAGAACCTACATGAAAAAGCCTGGCACAGTAGTGCATGCCTATAACCCCAGTACCGGGGAGACCAGAGCTTGCTGGCCATTCATAGGTGAATTTCAGGTTCAGTGAGAGAACCTGTCTCCTAAAAACAAGAAGGAGGGTTGGAGAGACGGCTCAGATATTACAAGCATTGACTAGTCTTCCAGAGGTCCTGAGTTCAATTTCCAGCAATCACATGGCGGCTCGCAACCATGTTATAATGAGATCTGATACTGTCTTCTGATATATAGGCAGACACGCGGGCTGTATACATAATAAATCTTAAAAAATAGAATATAATAAAAACAATGGAAAGCGATCAAGAAAGACACACACACATACAGAGATGCAGAGACACACCTGGCCACACAAAGTAGACACTTGGATGTTTGGCCTTCTATATGTGTTCCTTGGAAACCTACAGAAAGAACAGGCCTTTTCACCTTGAATGAAGAATGAGTCTAGGCAATAATCATAACAAGCCCTTTAATGAGTCACAAGTAGTCGAAGGGAATACAGAAAGCCCTTCTTTATGTTCCCAGGTTAATTCCGTCTAATTAAAGCCTCAGCATGATGGAACAGTATGGACATTGCCCTCAAAACTGGGAACTGTTTTCAGCCAGAAGACTCCGAGTCTTCAGTGCTATGTCCCTCAGCTGAGATCACTAAGATGGTTGTTCCATGTCTGGGCAATTTCTGACCTCGCTAGCTGCCACATAGAGGTTCCTTTTCTTTAGTTTTTCCAATTAGAGTGTTCTACACTGTTTGACTTTCTCTGCACTGTGAACCTTCATGGGAACTGTTGTACACCCATCCCTTGCATGGGGTGTCCTTCATTGTCCATCATGGGGAGATCTGTAGAGGTCTGAGGATGATAATTAACCAGGAGCATGTTTAACTCAGTTTCGGCACGGGCTCAGTCATGAAGCGCAGGGTTTTAGTGGACGAACCAAACCAAGGAAGGCTACCAGTAACGGGCAGAGCTCGAGATTGAAAAGATCCACACTGCGTCGTGGCTGCATTGACCAGAAGACTCCAGAAGCACTGTCCTCAGTTTGCTGTCTATGGGAGGGGACCAAAACCTGTGTCATCTTTGCCCTGTGTCGCCTAGGCCCAACAAAACATCATGCATGGGATGATTCCTATAATGGGAAAGGCCTCTATCAATACTTGCTCAAGTGATGCTATTCCCAGAAAAATACACATAAAAAAATGTCAGCATATTAATTCTTTCAGGGGGTATGCGATCCCTCTTGGCAGCTGACCATGCAGGGAGAGGAGCAATGGATGGGGAAAACTCACAGGGCAGATAACAAAACACCTTGCTTTTTTTGTTGTTGTTGTTTGTTTGTTTTCTCTTTTTACAAATGACCTTTAAGTATTTTCAGTGCTTGCTAGGAATGCACTTCTGTGGTGCTTCCTAGTGGGGAACTTAGAATCCATTGGCAAAGTTTTCTCACTGGGCTCCTTAGTAAGTGTAGTTGGGGCTGAGAGACCTGTGCTCCAGTAGAATGTAACCCAATGAGTGCTTATCCCTAGAAATAATGTCAGACACTTGCCAGTTAAAAGTATCCCCAGGGCTGAGTACCGTGAAGCCGCTCTCTACATATCTGAGAAGTGATGGCCGACGGATGAGGGAATTTGTATCTGATGGTTGATCAAGTCCATTCAGTCGATTTGACTAAACGTACGCTAGTCCATTCAGGCCAGTCACAGGAGGAACGTTAGCCCACAACAGAACTTTCGGTTTTTACTGACGATGCCTCTCTGAGAACGCAATCCAAGCCAGACCACCCAACTGCACAGCTCTCCCCGAAACTGAAAGGCTTGAAAGTGTTCAGGTGCTCTGGCAGCTCATGCACAACTTATGTGTGGGTTTCTGATGCTAACTAGCAGAACATAAGAAGGATCTAGCATGCAGATCCAGTCATCAGCCTGATAATTGGTTAAAATTGTAAAAAATCAAACATGGAATGTCCGAAGGAAGTGAAGCAACATACAAGTTTTGGTTTTTGTTTTTCCTTGATGGAAAAAAGAGGGCTTCCATGCCTTAATTTATTGCCCATCAGCCCGTGATTGGTATAACCCCATGTGTTGGTTAGTTGTTTTTTTTTTTTTTTTTCTTAACCTGACACAAGCTAGAGTCGTCTGAGAAAGGAGAACTCCAACTGAAAAATACTTCCCCCATCTGATTGGCCTGTAGGCAGGCCTGTGGGCCATTTTCTTGATTAAAGATTGGTATGGAGGGCCCAGCCCACTGGCAGTGGGAGCTGGGGGAAGGCTGACATCCTGGGTGGTCCTGGAGTGTGTAAGGAAGCAGGCTGAGCAAGGCAGGAGGGAGATGTCAGTAAGCAGCGCTCGTCCATGGACTCTGTCCCAGTTCCTGCTCCAGGTTCCTGCCCTGCCTGAGTTCCTGCTATGGTTTCCCTCAATGATGGACTGTGATCAGCACGTATAAGCCAAATAAATCCTTTCCTCCCTACGTGGCTTTTGGTCATGGTGTTTATCACAGCAACAGTAATCTAACTAAGACACCTAGTTTTAGTTTTTTGCATCTAGCATTTTCCTAACATCAGCTCAATGGGATGATAGCTAAGTAGACTTGTGCTGGATGCTCTGAGACTCTAATCTTTTTAATGACTTGGGGAAGATAAGGAAATTCACTGTAATTTTATGATTTCATTGTGTGTGTGTGTGTGTGTGTGTGTGTGTGTGTGTGTGTGTGTGTGTATACATATATTTTCATCCATGGTTCCTGGCTCATAATTCTAATCTGCCTTGTTGATAACCATTTCTCCTCATTCCAGAGGGTTCCTTCCCTAAGACTCCAAAGAAAGAAAGCCTTTCTGAGCAAACTGCATTATTGACATCCACCCAATCATTGCACCTAGACACAGATGTAAACAATCCCATCACATTTCCGTAGGAAGCACAGCTTAGGGTAAGCACTGGAGAAACCAGGACTGACAATTACACAGGCCTGTTTCCTTCAATGGGAGGAAATGGATGAAGCCTGGTCACCTGGAACACCAGAGTGAAAGCAGTCCGACAACCTGGCGGTCCTCGGCTATTCTATCAGGAGTCAGCCTCCACCTGGATCCCCGCCTCCATATCCTCAGCACTGTTTAGGCCCCAGTCCTGAGCTTTGTGTTTCAGTGAACAGAACCCATCCTTGCGAAAGAGATCCCATGTATGTTGCATCCTCCGCCAATAGAATTCATCCTTATGCTTCTCACTGACCTTTGCCCTAGATCCTAGCCCCGAGTTCTGATTGTCAGCCAATAGAGCTCATTCGTATTGCAGGGGTCACAGGTGCTTTGCTGACTTGCAGGGAGTTTCTATGTAGCTATGCTTAAAGCTCTGCTGTGTTAATTGCCATGTGGCAACCTATTCTCAAGGTTTCACTGTGTTTAAATGTGTAAGAAGAATAAACCACAAGGTCAGACTCTGGACGTTTGGGTCCAGTGCCTGTGAAGATGGTGCTGACCCGAGTTTCAGTCTCCACCTCCAGCAGACATTGTCTTCCCATCAGCCACGAGGCTCACTGAATCCCTGACACACTTTCATGTCTACTGAGTCAAGCCTATACAAAGGACTACCCTTAAAATCCACGAAGAACAGTTTTGGGGAGCTTCTGGGTAGCTGGATATACGTAGTTCCTGGAGCGTTTCTCCGTTCTGTCTTTTCCTTACCCTTTGGAATAAGCTGGCCCCACATGGTTTCCTGAGCTTTTAGAGTCACTCGGGCATGTTAATTGGACCCCAGGGCATAGTTGTAGAAGTGCCAGTTTATAGCTGGTGGGTCGGAAGCCCAGGGAAAGCGGCTTGTGATATTCAAGGGGCACTTGAAAGCAGTGTGGTGGGCAAGGGAGGGCTTGGCGACTGTGCCCTTCACCTGCTGGGTCTGAGGCTGTCCCTGGGGAGACAGTGTCAACAATGAAGAGAATCAGAAAATATCGAGCTGGTGTTCACAGCAAAGTGAATAATGTGCGTGGTGCTGGGGAGAAATCGGGTTACAGAAGTGACCGATGTTGGGAGGGTACCGTAGGAAAGGTTGGGTTTAACTGGCCTTTTCCTTTGTACCACCGTCGAAGCCATCTCTTCCACATCGGCATAGGCGGGGTAGGCTTCAGGCAGATGTAGTTATGAGTGCGAGAATACCAGATTTTATTCAGAAATTACACACAGTAGACAGTGCTAGTATAAGACACAGCTTCTTGCTCAGAGGGAACAGGTGCCGAGACACTTGGGGAGTAGATGCATTGCCTAGCAGTAGCTATTTAGTGTGATAATGGCGTTTGATAGTTTGGACACAAACACCATTGTCACACTCCACAGCTCTGCTAAGGAAAATCTGTTGCTCAAAGGTGTTAACTCCACCTTCACATCCGGCCATTGTCACCGTCAGGGGCTCCTCCACCGTGGCTTCAGGCTGTAATAGGAAAGAACATAGGAAAGAGACGGGGTTTCTTGAATAGAAGGGAATCACAGAGGCCTTTTACCAAGATGAACAAACTCCCGTGGAGACAGATGGCTGTTTGTTTACATCTGTTTCTCTGAGAAAGCTTCCTAAGCTTGGGTCCCTGGAGGAGACAGATACTTTACACAAACCACATTATATATGAAAGGGCTCCATTGGATTAATAGATTACACTGGCTTTCTGCTCACCATCGTTTCCAATCCATCATTAGCAAATGTGATCAATTCTTCAGCTCAAGAAAATTATGATGACTTTTTCCTTTTCTTTTTCCTTTCCTTTCCTTTCCTTTCCTTCCCTTCCCTTCCCTTCCCTTCCCTTCCCTTCCCTTTTCTTTTCTCTTCTTTTCTTGAGACAATGGTCTTACTACATGGCCCTGCTTGGTCTTGAACTCAACATATAGACCTGACTGACCTCAAACCCACAGAGATCACCTCCTTCTGCCTTCTGAGTGTGGCATTAAAGGCATACACCACCACTCCGAGCTTGCGATTGTTGTTTATGAGGCTGTGGCACTAGACTATGGGGTCTTGTGAACACAGAGACACCCTACATTGCTCAAATTTTAAATTATTTCCAGCACAGTTCTTCTCTAGTAGAAGAGCAGGTAGAGGATGAGGAATCTAGGAAAGACAGAAGGAGAAGACAATACTCTAGCTAATACTCGTCTTCTAGCAGAAAGGTTGCCCTGGGTGTAAATCCCTTCTGGATTTATGTATGGTTCCGGTTAAATACAGCTTCCGACTCCTACTCCCAGTGGAGAGTGAGAGGAAATAGAAGGGTTTTCCCTAATCCTTTGTTTTCCCCAAGAACTGGGAAAGGAGAAGACTGGGGGGGGGGGGGCAGTTTCCCACCTCCAGAACAGTCCAGTCACCGTTTCACTAGGGAACTGCTTTAGCTATCGACCCGGCTGTATCTAACTAGTGTAATTCTCCCGCTTTCTTTGGTCTTTCATTCCCATGCAGAGCATGAAATCATCCTTGAAGCCAGATCCTGCAGGGACAGCATTCTATGACCTCCCACCCCCTCCTATGGGGCCCACAGGGTATTGGCTCCTGCTCCTTCCCCTTTCTTTTCTATTGCTCCAATTGTCTCATTTTCTGCTTCATAGTTGGTTTTCTTTTGTTCCTCTGTGACCCTGGCAGGCAGCAGGAAACGTGTACGACTCAGTCCTAAGACAAGCGTTCCTCAGGGGCAGCTTTGTATGATGCAAGGAGAAGCAATGAAGCCAGGAAGTTCCTGTTGACACCCAGTCCTGCCCTAAACCCTTTGTACTGACAGTGATGGGGACACAGGTGTGGTGGATGGCCTGTCCTTTCCCCGCCGCTCCTTCCAACCAGAGATAGGCTATACTGATTTCTCTTTGCTTGAAGGACCTAGAACAGAAATCCCCACCTCTTGTTCACCCACTGTGGATGCCCTGACCAACTCAGTGAGTCTCTAGAACCCACTTCTGCACATTTGATAAGAGCCACCGGTAGAGGAGAGGCATCCATTAGTGACACAGGACCTGTGGGGAAATGCTAGGAAAGCTCCGTACTTAAGCCAGTCTGACCTAGTCCATTCCTCTGGGCTTTGCTGCAGGGTGTGAGGACCTGTCTGTGCTAATCTGCAAAGACAGAAGCAGAAGGAAGAAGGATCATAAAAGAAGAGAGGGAAACCTATGCACTAAACCCAAACCTCCCCAACCCCTCCCTCTGGGGGCTGGTCATGAACCAAGCACACATCTCAATGAAAAGGTAAAATAACTAACTAAATAGATACAGATTTTTACCTATACGATAATTCATAATGACGCTATTTAAAATAAAGAACCACATGCCATTCAAATGCCCAGCTATAGGAAAATGGCCATCTGCTCACCACAGTACACTGTCTTCTCATCCCAGTCACAGAATTGTAGAAACACGGTTGCTGACTTGGAAACAAACTAAGATTTGGTTTTGACCAAAGAAGTGATTTTGAAAACAATGCATACAAGTTGGACTCTTTCTATGAAAATCATGCAGCATTCCTGCCATAACAGCTCTCTACCAGGTAGGAAGGGAGCTACTGGCTTATTTTTCCCTTTATTTGTATAACTGAATTTCCACAACCTTTACAATGCTTTTTTAAAATTCTCAAAGTCCCTTTTCCCTTTCTGGATAACCTAAGTACTTCCCATTTTGCAAAGACTTTTCTTAAATTTGGAGGTTGGGGTCTACCGAACTCAAGCACACTTGTTTGTCACCGTGAAATGTAGTTTTACAAATCATTACTGAAATATCTTTTTATACAGTATAATGGTTTTGTGATATTACGTCAAGAAATAAGTTCTTATTTATTAGGGTCCTGCAAACAATTTTTAGACATTGCTGAAAACGTTCATTTTTTTTTTCCTCTCTGCGTTCTTTGACCCAGTGATTATTTCTTGTCAGTCCCTCTGCAGGCGGTTGAAAAGGCCAGCAGAATATTCTCCTGTTCATCCAAATGTCATTTACTAATGAATGGATCACTAAAAAGAAAGCCAAAGTGGTTAATTCTAGGGTCAACTTTTAGGCCCATAGTTGGGTCTTGTTCTTCAGATTTAAAAGGGCTCGTGTCCTAAAGCTTTAGATTGAACTTGAAGCTCCACTAGTACTAGTTAATACCCAACAGGAACTTCACTGGTACTAGTTAATACCCAACAGGAACTTCACTAGTACTAGTTAATACCCAACATGAAGTGAGTTGCTTGGGAGGGAGCAATGCCTGTTATTTTCTATGACCCCCCCCCAAAAAAAAACCCAATGCTGAAGACAAAGGTGCTGGATGCTAATCAGGGTGACATGTCCAAATGCCAACAGGTTTTTCCACAGCTCAGAAAGGCCTCGTGAGACCATGCCTCTTCCTTGTCCCCAGAACCTCCCACCTGCTAGCAACCTGTGTTCCATGTCCTCACTTTCCTCAAGAAGATGGAATTCTAGACATTTCTAGGGGCTGTGGCCTGTGAATCTAAGGAATCCCTGTGCATGAAAAAACAAGTTAGACTTGGTTTGCTCCTTGTTTGCTAGGCATCCCTTTTCCTAAGTAGGAAGAATGGGAGTTCTTTAAGGAGGAAACCTGAAAGAGCCAAACCAGCACCAAATATATCAGTATGCGCCACAGCTCCCAGGAAGACGTCTTGGAGCTACAGGTACTAAGAGATCAGGGAACGGTAATTTCTCAGCTTGTTCAAAGGGGCAAAGAGCACCCTGCAGAGCGTCATAGACCCAGAGAAGGGACTGCTCTGGGACATGTGTAGAGTCACTTCGCTGTAGAAACAATTCAGTACCACAAAAGGATTGCTTAAGAAGCAAAAAGGAGAGATACTTTTGTATTGCAAATCCACCTTTACTGTCAGGTGAAATAGATGTGTTAAATGCATCCATTTGACTGTTTTAGGCCATTACAGTCTAGACAAAGAAAAAGACAGTCGGTTCATACTTCCTGAGTCTTGTCATCTTTGAGAGCGCACGGGGCTTTTAAAATAGAATGTTCTTGTCAACAGAGAACAAAACAGCTTTTCTTTTCAAGGGAACCCATCTAGAAGGAGAAATCCAGAAAGTTCCTTATTCATAGCATCGAAATCAGTATTTAATTAACCAAGAGGTGAAGAGAGAATCCGTTGGGCAATTCTCAGCATTTAGGGTCTTGGTGGGCTTTCAGTCAGGAGTCAAGACTTGGGGTTCCTAGAGACCAGTTTCATCTCTGTGTGGGAGGCCAGCTATTTCCAGTATCTTTGAGGGGACAGTACAAATTGGTCACACATGCAAGAGGAGCAATTTCAATGCAATGCAGACATAAAAGAAAAAACATGGTGAATATTGCCTGTGTGCTCACTCTGAAGCACAAGCAAAGAAAAGAATTCTGGGTCAAGCAAACCCCACTTTAATTATAGTGGTAGAATCTTCACCCAAGCCCTTGGTGTTATTGATAACCAGGCCATTTTAAACCGGGAAATGGCTTTCTATAGCCACTCCAAGGGTAGAAATATAAGCTTGCCTTTGGTTCCTCCATTTTTCTCTAGCCTACCCTTTCCCTTCTCTAAGGAATATAAAGAAGTTTCCAGAAAGGGTCTTGCTCAGGTTTTCTAAAGAGAGTGAATGATCATGGCAAACATATTCAAATATTGCATGTCTTATATCTGATATTGGTCAGGAGTTGTGTGGAGCCTTTTAAACACCCTCACCTCACTCAGCATCCCTGAAGAACAGCCTCATTTCCATAGTGGGCTGGCAGGCCCTGGAAGAAGGTACTTACCCCAGTCGGATTTTGCCTTCTTTCAGCCCAGGGCCCCTTATCTGGTTGGCGGGATGGTGTTTCTTATTTCTGCTGGGAGTCCAAGGGCAGCTGTGGGTGAGAGGCCTGAGCATTTGGGGCTTTTAGGCCTCTGCACTCTCCCTTTATGGGATCCAGGGCTTAAAAGTAAACAGTTTTTTTCTCTTACTGATAAGTCACATTAAATTATCGATTGTTGGGGGACGGAGGGCGTGACCTTAGTCCACTAAGTCAGAGTCACCTTTGGTTAAACACTAAGCAAAACTGAAGGTCCAGTTTTCCTCTGCCCACTTGCTACGTGGTGTGCACCATCTGTGGGTGGACATGAAGGCCAAGGGCAGGCGGCTGAACCTAGCGAACATTTTTGTCTTGGGACTCTGAGCCAAACCTACTCCACTACTTTCCTCTGGGGGAAAGTGACACCCAGTGTCACCCCCTCAAGCTTCCAGAACTAGGAAGTCACCTGGTCATATGAACGTGTGACATACACCTCCTAGTTCATCCTACTCAGGAGCCTTGACTGACAGCAGGGAGCCAGTCTCATGTTCCCTGTCATCTCTGACGAATGCACATCTAACCGCTGGTTTACATGACCATGTATGAAACACTTTCCCGACAGCTAAGGTGTGGACAGCCAAGTGGGGAGACAAGGCAAGCAGAGTTGGTCACTCCGGAGTCAGGACAGACACATAAGCAGTGACAGTCACGCAGGCTGCATGCTGGTGTGTCCAGCCATTTCCTTTTCTCTTTGGGTTATTCTGACAGGTTGCTTTCTTCAGCGTAAACGGAAACCCATCTTTATTCTCTCTCTGGTAATCTACTGTGAGGCCAGGCCTTTATGAAGAAAGCTGGAGATCCGTGGCTTCGACTTGTGGGTCCTGCCACCCTGCCCCAACCTCATTTGGAGTTGTCATGTTTCCTCTGTGTTGCAGTTCACTGGGCTCCAGGACCAAAGAACTGTGGCAGTCCATGGGTCCCACTGCCTCCTCCTTCCCTGGGGAGACTCAGTTCTTCCCCTAGTGTCATTTGACCAGCTGAGGTCATCCTGCATCCTTGCTCCTTGGAAAGACAAGGTCTTCCTGTGTCTTCCTAGGGCAGACACGTTTATAAGGTAGAAGCCCTAAGTCCACCCCAGGAAAAACTACCTTATGGGCTGGGCTGTCTGGGAACAGCTAAGGTCCAGTTTCCAGCAACAGATATGGCAAATATGGCGATCAGGTGATTTCTAAAGGTGGCAGTGCTGGAGTAACCGCGTGGGCTGGAGTAGCTGCGTGGGCCACCTGAGGTGTCTTTTGCCTTGCTCTTTTATTGCTTCTCCTACTCACAGCAACTGTGTGTGTGTGTGTGTGTGTGTGTGTGTGTGTGTGTGTTTGTGTGTGTGTGTGTGTGTGTGTGGTTTTCTCCTTTTAAAGTGAAGTGAACACCTCATAATTTGGCATATGGATGCTCTTTCCAAGAACAGGATATCCCTCCCTCCAGCAGATCCCTCCCAACAGCTTCCTTCTGTCCATGAGAGTTGCTGTCCTGTCAGACAGACAGCTGCGCTGTGGGATGGGGGACACGGAGTACAGTGTAGACCACTTGCTTGGCCTGCGCAAAGTACTGCCTGGTCAATGCTCACCTCAAAGATAAGATGACTAAATAAAAACCAGCCACAAAACCTTTTTGTCTCTAAAAGCACGATGAAGCAATTCAGCTTCCAGATCATTTTCTTAAACTCCAGAGATAGGATGAGTTTTTTCCAAACTTCTTTGAACAACCTAGCGTCATATTAATGAGAGCTAGTCTCTAGGAAGGAAGCTTGCGGGCCAGTTCCAACTGGACTCCTCCAAGACCATTGTCTGTAGTATGTGGTGCCTTCAGCAATAGGGTCTCGCTTTCGCTCCGGGAGGCCACAGCAATAACCTGTATTATTTGGGGAGTCCTCTTGGGCTCCCCTGACCAACTCCTGGAAGGGATGCTAGCCGTGCCTGGCATTGACGTTTCTGTTAGCTTGTTAGTCTATGGCTCTTGGCAATGGCCGGATGGGGCTCGGGAGGACACATTATAGGCTCAAGTGATGTCACTTTATTCAAATATACATAAGCATAAAATACACTTATTTATATTCTATATGTATTTTAAGTGAGCATAAAATGTTTTTTTACAGCTTCTTCAAACATACTTGGTGTTCTTTACTCATCCTCCCTCTTCCTCTGTGTTGCCCTCCCTACCCAATTCCAAGCTGAACCCCCCTCTCCTACTCTCCCTGTTTCCCCCATTCATAGCACCTAAGTCTTACTATTGCCTAGTGCTCCTTCTCCTCTCTCCACTGTGGAGTTTTTTTCTCCCCTTTCCTGGTTTCTGTAGTTACTCCAGGTGCCACCCATCTAACAATTTGGAGCGAAGGTTCACCAATAAGAGAAAACATAATGTTTGTCTCTATGGGTCTAAGTTACTTCAATGGAGAAAGGCAGTCAATAGTTCCACCTAGCTATAAAGGCTATGAGCCAGGACAATGACCAGGATGGCAAGATATCCCCAAGGGCGCAATCACGGGAGTATATGTATATGTTAGGTACAACCAATAGCACTGTAATTGGACTTACGGCCTACTCAATAGGACGGAAGTCATGCCTGATACTGAAAACACAGCTTGCTACCTGTGTCTGGTGAGGCCATGGGTCCTAGATGATAACCTACAACTGTCACCGTCCTAAACCAGAATCATTCTGGATGACATTACAAATGCTTGTCCTTATACCCACAGAGAAGTGTAGCTCTCACTCCTCAGCCATGAAGCTTCTTTTTGCAGTAGACTGAGACCGTCCTAGAAAGCCACAGCTCGTCAAAACTGAGGGTAGGGTGCTCAGCCCCAACTGATACACCTACAACGCCATCCCCATACCCAAGGCTCAGGTAATGAGGACGAAGGGGTGGAAAGACTGTTAGAACCAGAGGACAGAGGTGCCTACTGCGCCTATGGGAAGCTGCACCCACGACATCGCGAAAATATGGTTGCCTAGCAACAACAACACCCGTTGCCGTGCCAACGTAGATGGGGGAAATACCCCTAGATGAAGAGCTACAGGCAGTTAATGGCTGCGGAGAATCAGTGTACTCCCGGGATGGGCTTCCTGGTAAGTTATTCAGTCCTAAATCGTCAGCCCTAAGTCAATACTCGCTTGAACAGCAACACTTGGCGGATGCGGCAGGCTGTATTTACATAGACATATACAATAAAAGAAGAGGTCAGAGGTCACGATGTAGAAAGGGAGCGGGAGGGGCACGGAGCAAGTTGGAGGAGAGATGAGGCAGAAATAATGAAAACATAGCATTCACGTATAAAATTCTCAAAAAAAGTTCAAACATTTAAGCAAAAAGAACACTGGCTTTTATTTTTTAAGAAATAAGCAAGATGGGTTCCCTTTAGTGATGGTGGCTCCCCGTCCTCCAGGGCTGCGGTTCAGCTTGGATATCTAAATGCTTGATATCTGTGCTTGCCGGAGAGGCCTTCACCAACAGGAAAAAGCAAAACCCGGTAAACCTGCACTGGCAGCAGCTGTTAGTAATCAATTGACCCTGGCAATTGACCGACTGCTTGGTTTTCTTATCGTCCTGCCACGACCTAGAACTTTTTTGAAATAAAAAGAAAGAGAAGAAACCAGTTTTCACGAAGAATGCCCAGCGTTTGCCTGGAGGGACACTGAAATCTGGGGGGCAGGAAGCCTGGGAGTCATTGAATCCATGTTTGGATTTTTGCCTTTGAAGTCTTCTTCTCTGAGCAGCAAAGCTGAGAATCCTGGCCTTTTATTTGCTCTAAAACCTCGGGCGGCACAGATGCTGGACTGATGGAGCAGAGGCAACCTAGGGCGGATGTAGAGACACTACTGACATCCCAAACTATATCTTCTCTCGGCTTGTTTATTCCACTAGCAAAGAGGCAGAGGCCAGAGCCGTCCAGTCTACCGTGTGCTGGGGGAGGGCTTCGTGCAGCGGGGCTGAGGGAGGGCTACGCGCAGCGGGGCTGAGGGAGGGCTACGCGCGCAGCGGGGCTGAGGGAGGGCTAAGCGCAGCGGGGCTGAGGACGGGCTGAATTGCACGGCCTCTGATTGATGACTAAGGGCACCATAATCACTTTCCAACTGGTGTCACAATCTAGGGCCTGGGGCAGAACTGAGTGTTGACAGCAATCCCTGGTTTCATCATGGTTGTGACATATAGGTCACATCACTCTATGAGTCTTCCTGCTACTAAAGGAAACAGGCCTAAATCACTGGTGCAGTCTGGGGTAGGAGGGGGGACAAGGCCCGACTGTGGGTAGGGGGGCAAAGGTCGGGGGTCATCACTTGAGAGAGCAGTACCCGCTCTTAGGAGGCAGCAAAAATAAAGCACAGACATGATTTTTTTCCCCACTAAACACTTTGACATACACCCACCAAAGTGAAGTCCACTATCCTGAGTCCCATTTGGGAGGTAGAGGCAGGCAGATCTCTATGAGTTCGAGGCCAGCCTGATCTACAAAGTAAATTCCAGAATAGTCAAAGCTACATAGTGAAACCCTGTCTTGAAAAAGTCATAAAGCAAAACAAGCAAATAAACAAAAACAAGCCCCCACTAACAACTAATCAGAATTCATCCATTTATTCAGTTTTTTTTTCTGCTTCTTTAATCCAATACTTCCCAGCATCCTTCAAACATTATTTCTAGTACCCGCCACCACCAGAGATCAGGCAGTGCTCTCGGTTTCTAGGAAGCACTGGTAGAGATTCCAAAATCTCTATCAGTGGTAGTACGCATTCCCCAAGGTCATGATGAGGCACATATGAATTAATATGTACACGTTTAGGAGCTAACACAAAGGGACACTGCAAAGGTTTGTTCTTAAACTCTTACAATGACTTGATTGTTTTTTTTTAAATTTTAGCAGTTTAAAGGCACATCTGGGACCTGTCAGTGGGATCTAAAGTGCACTTTCCTGAAGACGATTTTTATTGCCTCCTGTCCCCCAACCCCAACACATATGTGAAGGAAGCCAGCCACCCACGGTTCATGACTCTGCTTCTCCAGGACTAAACCCAACCCTGTGAAGATCTCTAATCACATGATTCTAAG